AATAACTAGTATTAGATGTTTACCATAGTACCATATGTGTCCGGGCGTTCTCTGTGTCTGTTCGTCGGTGTGATTTATGACTTGTGATTTATGATTTATGACTTATAACATGTGGTACTGGTTATATAAAAAGCATTTAAAAAAAAATGAATTTGGGGACGTGTGTTTAGGTCCCCACTTCCCACCATACACAAACACACACACACTCAATAATTTGAGTATTGACCTTTGAGATGACTTGATACTAGGGAAATGGGTTTGCCAACAGTACTAGTGAGCACTCAGAATTTCAGATCATCTTGAACATATCCAGAATCTACACTGTGATAAAATATCACCCTGTCTCTGCTAAATGGCCTATGTAATGGGAGTCATAATTTGAGAAAGGTCAAAGTAATGTCATGTACTGAGAGACAGGTTTAAAGCAAGAATAAATTAATGTGAAGGTGATAAGGTTTCTATAAAGTCAAATAACTGAGAGTAATACTACAAGTCGGCGAAGTCTAGTGCAAATGTATACTATCGATGAGGCGTCCGCCATCTTGTTTGTTTGCATTTGGTGAGACACGCGCAGTGAGGTGTGTAGTATTTTATCAATGGACATAGTAGTATTTTTATAGCATTGTGACGTCACCGTCTGACGCGGAGGCGGTATAAATAGCGGCGTGGACACCGAGATCGGGGGCTTGCTCGGAGGGCTCCAGCAAGTTTGACTAGCCCGCAATAAATACATATATAGTTAATATTTCGGAATTCCGACCGGAACGCGCTGCAAAGCGCTGAGAGTGGTCGGCATCAATTAGCATGAAGGGATTTTAGCGGAAACAATTTTGGGGGAAAGTATTTGACATCCAAATTGGGGGAGAACTGTAAATACTAAAACCACGAAATCCAGTATGACACACCGTAAATTGGGATTGGGATGGGGGGGGGTGATAATAGTGGGAAATAGTGTAGGGGATTTAGACTAAATTTGGTCCTAAGCAAGATGTAAATACAGTCGAACCCCGCCTTACGACCACCCCACTTTTAAGACCACCCCGCTATTGCGGGCAGAATATGTAGAGGTTTGTAGAATTAGCAGAGGTTTAACAGCATGAACTAGAAAATCGAACACAACAAACATGGAGAGTTTGTGTACTTCGCATGGACTTTAGGCTTCGGAATTTGACTATTTTTAGTCTATATTTGATTAAATTTACCATTGATTTCATTAGAATAATGTAGAAGGTTAGTAGAGAATAACAAAATAATCAGGCCACAATTAAACAATTTTTTGTTTGCCCTCACCCGACTTAGGCTGAAACGTGTGGTCGGCTTTTTTTGAGGGGGGTCTTTTTACAAATTCAGCAATGGTGTCTACGCGTGCTCAGGTGTGCTTGTGTGGACATACCTTTTATGTTTGCCTACAGATTTATATAATGTACATTGTACAGTGATACAATATACATATAAAATACTTTTAACAACTTGTGTTCATCAGAGCTAAATTGTGCAGGATTTTATTTCCAGATCACACACGCACGCACGCACGCACGCACGCACGCACGCACACATACACGTAATCTGGAAATAAAAGCAGGCACGTACGCAGGCTGTGCATAGCTCTAGTACTATAGCCCGCGTACAGTTGCCTCATATCAGGCCTGCCACATATAGAAACTTAAAAAAAAAATCGGAAAGGTCAATAAAAATGTTTGTGTCGGCCCCTTTTTGGCGGGTCGGTCGGGTGAGGGCAAACAAACAACATTTTTATTATGGCCTCAGTTTGGTAATTTTTTTATTTCCTGTGCGGCGATTATCTAGTCGCCCCGCCGGACCAGCTGACATGAGCTAGCAGTCGCGCGGTAGATTTTCCAATCGCCACTGGCGACTGGGCGACCGCTAGTTTCTCACGCTGGGACACAATGTCCGACTGACCTGAAAAGATCTCGGACAAATCTAATTTTAGCCGGTCATGTCCGGTAACTATGAATAAATTTCGAACCCTGCCCTCGGACAAACAGAAAATAGGCACGTACTCGTCCAGAGAGTTTCTTTTGTTAGTAAATGCATGTATATCACAGCCCGGGAAAGTAATCATCAATCGGGGACAAATAATTATTTTACGTTTACTTCTCTGTGGACAGGCATGGATTTGTGAGATATCCACACACCTGCAAACCTTTCGCAACAGCAACTATTTAGCTAAAATAATTCATAATTAACCTGTTGATAGTCCAATAGTCATCATTTCAATAATTCTATACAATTTGAAAGAGACCCTGTATCAATATTTCAATTAATATCACATTTGATATTACCCATGCAGACCACCCTCCTGTTACTGATTGCACCACACAGGCACCCGGTAATTTAAGCGTGACGGCATGGTCAGCTTGCTTTGTCCGTGCAAGTTTTGTGTCTGGATCTGCCCACGTGATTATCATTCGGTCAGCATACACACGTTTCAGAACCAATAAACAGTAAGGTATCTCAACGCTATAGCTTAGTAGGCTTA